CCCCCCCCCCCCCCACTTGTACTCAATAAATCTAGTTGACACTGAATGTGTTAAAGCAGGGGCACTGAGGGACGAGCTGAGGGACACTATAAACTAGTTAAAGATGGCGAATGCATAGTTTTTCTTGTGTTGTGACATGAATTCCAGCCATTTTTTCTTAATTGTCGGGTTTTCAACTGAAAACTAATTTCCACACGTCACGAATTTAACTCAAACAACTTCATTTTTACTGCACTGCATGAAACTTTGGTGAGAAGATTGAGTTTCAAAACTCAATTCAAGATTGAGTTTTTGGGGCCGTTTAACGGCCCTAAAAAATCCCTGAAAAAAACCTGCCTAGAGGATCCTATGAGATTTTGCCAGCATCCTACAATTCCTAGCAGGATCCTATAGATGTTGCCAGCATCCTACAAATTTCTTGAAGGGTCCAGCTATAAGATATTGCCAACATCCTATAAATTCCTAGCAGGATCCTATAGGATTTTAACACTAACATCCTACAAATTCCTTGAAGGATCCTATAAGATATTGCCGAGAAGGAACCTATAGCATTTTGCCAGCATCCTACAAATTCCTAGAAGGATATCCTATAGGATTTTGCAGGCTTCCTACAAATTGCTAGAAGGATCCTATATAAGATTTTGCCAGCTAGCATCCTACAAATTCCTTAACCCTAACAAAAAAAGTCTATAGGCCTGACCTATAGGCCAACCTATAGGTTTCTGTAGGAAACCTATAGGTTTTTATAGGCAATTGGAACATTTTCTATAGGTGACCTATAGGGATGCCTATAAACTTATAGAGCTCTATAGGTGCCTAAAAGCTTCTTTAGGGAATTGGAACATTTCCTATAGGAGAAAGATCCTATAGGATTTTAACACTAACATCCTAAAACTTCCTTAGGATCCTATAAGATATTGCTGGCTTCCTACAAATTCCTAGAAGGATCCTACAGGATTTTGCCCCCATCCTACAAATTCGTAGAAGGATCCTACAGTATAGGATTTTGGCAGCATCCTACAAATTCCTAGAAGGATCCTATAAGATTTTGCCAGCATCTTACAAGTTTCTAGAAGGATCCTAAAGGATTTTGCCAGCATCCTACAAATTCCTAATTGAAGGATCCTATAAGATTTTGCCAGCATCCTACAAATCTAAGAAGAATCCTATAACATTTTGCCAGCATCCTACAAATTCGGCCGGCCTAGAATGAGGATCCTATAGGATTTTGCCAGCATCCTACTAATTCCTAGAAGGATCCGATAGGATTCTGCCAGTATCCTACAGATTCCTAGCAGGATCCTATATGATTTTCCCAGCATTCTCCAAATTCTCTTGTAAGATTTTGCCAGCTGAGGATAAGGCAAAAATTCCTAGAAGGATTTTATAAGATTTTGCCAGCATCCTACAAGATTTTGTCAGGATCCCATGCAGCGCTCTAACCAACTGAACTACAGAGTCCAGTTGTCGAGTTCTAACCACAAGTTCATAATCATGTAATAAACAAAAATCTTGCTATTTATTACACTACTAAATATCATTAATTTAGAAAACATCTAATTCTCAATCAACTTATAATTAGTGCGATAAAATGTGCTCACAATCATTCTGTGCTGATTTTAAAGGCCCTTGCAATTTTTTCTATTTCCACCATGTCGTTGTCGAACTCACTACCACTAGATATGAAAAGTTCAACAAACTTGGTAATTTAAAAAAAAGCTGTCTCAGACTATTACACGATGGAACTTGATTCTTATATTCTTCCTGACAAAAGACGTACTTAACTACTTTTAGACTAATTACTGTAATACATCCTACTAATTCATGATATTTTATCATGTTTTTTTAGCCATCAGGGATTTGATATCAATTGGGGCTTTGCTCTGTTTCTTTCTCCTGTTGTCAATGTAAAGCTGATAACTAGCTAATTCAATAAATTCAAATTCAAAAAGCGGTCTTTTCGTATTCAGGCATTTCTGGTTTAAACTGATATGGATGCCTAGACCCTTTCTTTCTCGGTATATTCAAAAGCATATTTGAACAGTACAGTACATAAAATATCAATAAAGAATTGTTTGAATTGTGTAATTTATAGCAATGCCATGCATAAATATAGACGATTGCTGACCGATATAATCCACACTGGCAACGTATTTATTTTAAATATATAGGTTATGATTATCTGTTTAACTGTGTGCTTGTATGGTCATATAGGAGTATTGTTGTCAAAGCGTGTTGCTGTATTTTGATGATCAATGGCAAAGTGTCTATCCAGGCCAAATGATGGTACGAAATATGATATTAATATTAGTGAGGATTTTTGTTTTGAGGACTTGTTATACAAATTATAAATTAAAAATATTTTTGGATGAGATTCTTGTTGTATCCGAAATTATCAAGGTCGAGGTGGGCGTTATCAGTAACTCGAGACGAACTTAGGCCTTCGCTCGAAACGTCGAAATTCTCC